ACGCTCTTCATGCTGTACAGGACTAGTTGATATGTCTTCCTGAAAAGGGGTTCACGTCGTCGTAGTTTTTTATGTATTTATTTATTTTACATGGGTCAGTGAAACACAAAGTCAGTGTACCCATGTTTAAATAATATCTCTAAAATATTTCTCCTGGTAAAGTTTATTATAAACAAAATGACCATAATCCTAGCTAGCCTATTTTAAGGTTCAAAAAAGTGCCTTAACCAAGGTTAAGTGTAGCCTGAAACACCTACCATGTGTAAGTGGAGAAACAGCCAAATGTTATAATTTGCTTCAAAACTATTTATGGATTAACAAAAACATTCATCAGTGAAATACCATTGTAACCGTGCTGTGATTCAAGTGGCACCTGGATTTTGAAAAATGCAAGCAATCACTAAAACAAATGAGCAAACAATATAATCATCAAAAGATCACTCATTAAAACAACACTTATCATAAACACAAAAATTAGAAAAAAGGACAAGAGGCTCTGCATCAGTGTTCACATGAGCACTTTGTTATTGATATCCATACATGTTGGTAATGTTATAGGAGCACAACATGGTCACAGGGGAAAGGAGAGCCAAGTGAGCTACAGGTATCGTACAGTATATACAGGTCAGAAATATTTGGAGATATAGAGAGGGAAAGAACATTGCACAAACATACATCACCCTCCCAACTAAAACATCCTCTCCTTCACTGGTGTTTACAGTATCTTCTAACAATCTGCATGAAAAAGTAAAATAGTTTAATTCCAGTTTTGCAAGCAACTGGAATGGCACCAACCACTTGTGACTGAGGAACCACGCTTGAATCCCACTAGCAGACGAATTGGTTCAAAAAGGCACTGGACAGCTATTTCTCTCGCAAGCTTTCTCTCTCTCTCTGATATTTACCAGGTGGACTTTAGTGAAAAGCAAAGCGTATTTGGAAGACCAACAGACAAACCTTAAGTGACCAAGATTGACCTAAAGCAGCAGCACTACAATCTAGTTTGCGCAACTTTTTGTGAGAGCATTTTCTTCTCAAAACACAACGTCCCATAACAGTATAATGTACATTTGAATGGTTTTCGTTATTAACTGTTAGCGTTGAAAGCTGTTAATAACAAAGTCAATAATGTCATTTTCCTTTTGAGAACATGAGAATGCAACATATTTACAATTACAAATACACAAAATAATGACTAATGCATTTTATAAATAGAAAATAATATAAATCATAAAACTGTTTTAACAAAAACATACTCTGACAATCATCTATTGATGTCTCAATAAAGCAATTTGAAAAAATCAAATCAAAATATGATTTTATGTATTACTTTAAGCAAAAGCATATCAGGTGTCATACCAAGGGCCCAAGATTATTTTAAATAAAATTGTTGATCATACTCAACTCCTGAAATAACAATATATATAATACATAATACACATTCCCTTCCATAAGGCCTCACCTTGAATTAAATGTAGCACATCAAATGGTCATAACTTAATGCACAATAAGGAATAATTTTACCGTCCTTGTCTAAATGTCTTTTTTTTGTCCTCTACTGCAAAAGCAGAGAAAATTATTTGTGGATAATATTTAAGCATTAAAATGTCTGGAGGAACACTTTCACTTGCTGGAGGAAATCATCTCACGAATTTAATTTATTTGTAGGGGAAGGGATTCGCCACCAAACCCCATTTAACTCTTTTTTTGCTCACCATCTATTCAACTACTTACATAAAACTCTATAAATCCATCCCATTCTATCTATACATCCATTCGTTCATCTACAGACTCATCTATCTTAATAAATATAGTCCAAACAGACTCAAAAGCTCCTTGAACCAAATCAAAACAACCAAAATCTAAACTAGACAAACATTAGACATATCTTCCCTTTCTACTGTATATATATTGCAAGTTGTGCAAAGGTTGATATAGGAAGGAATATATCACATTTAAGGTTAAAGATGGAGCTTATTTCAACTCTTTAAATCAGTTAAGTATCAGCAAAAGCAAAACATTTGTGATGCACTCCATCACATGCAGGCAATCTTGCAGGCTGTAAATTGTCCCTTGAAATTGGTGAAAAAAGCTTGAAATGAAGGGACAGAGATTGAGGTGATAGCATTAGTGTATCGATTTACCTGTCAAAGCAGCACAGGCTGGAGAAAACAAATGCCTCTGGACAGGCTGATTTCCCTTGTCCTGTAAGGTTGGGAAAATACTTAGTCTTTTTCAACATGTTAATGAGCTTTAATTCCTGTAGACTTAAAAACCAAGGCTTCCCTTTTCAGTGATGTACTATACAGCTTCATACAGTTCTTTGCACAAACAGTGTGAGAAAGAGATGTTTACGAATGACCTCCAGTTTATGCACAACTTCTGAAGGGCACATGCACACACTGTCAGTCACAACACACGAGTTGGTTAACATCTAGATTAGATAAAATCATACAGTATTTAATAAAGACAAGGCATATGTGCCAGTAGTGTCATCTAACAACTTCATTTGGTTTTTTAGTTATTTTTAAAAGGCTATTGACATTTATGATTACAAGCCAAGTTGCAAAACCCGATGGCCCATTGCAAACAATTTCACTACTCAGTAACTAGATCTACACTTTCTAATCACAGAGTCTGCCCTGCTGAGCACCTGCAGCACATCACCTTTATGGAAACTGAGCTGCCCTGGCTCTGTGGCTATATGATGGCATAACACCTTCACTTCACTGAAAGAGACATAAAAAGAAAGAAAGAAAAAGAAAATTTTAGTTAAAAGAATTAATCAGGTAAAATAATCAGGTATGGTAGTAACATGTTTTCATTCGAAAATAATTACATTAATATGCTTAGTCAATTATCGCGCTTTGCAAGGCAGCACTTGCTATTCAAACATCAAACATTTCTATTTTTTCCACCAAACTGTTGGTATTAATTAATCTCAAAGTGCTAAACAAACAAATTCAAACTGATCATTTCAGCTTTTTTCATGTTGTGCAATGTATTTTTGGCTTTTGTTTATATTACACAAGAAATGTAAGATATTTTGAATACCTTATTATTTATTGAAATAATATTACCTAATATTTTGAATATTCCTGACCTACTGACACCATTGATGTCATCTATAACCACCGTTTCATTACAAGGGTAGCACAGAATACAGAATGTACATTGATGTACAGATGACATACAATCCGTGCATAGGTAACTATAAACAACAACAATGTTGATTGAACCAAATTTCCTTTACACAGTCTAAACCAAAGTCTAAAACCTAAACTTACTTAAAACTCTTCTGTCGTTGCCTTGCAAGCACTGGTTTTCTTCTGTAAATTCAAAACCTAGTCATTCTAACTCATCTAACAACATTACCAATGGGACTTGTCTCTGTGTTGGGGGATTCTGTGTTTGTGCTTGTTCAGTTGGGCCAAGGTGGGATTCTTGGCTTTGAGACGTGAGAGATTGTTGCTCCGCTCTTTTTCCCACTCCAACAGACTGAGCCACCAGATCCAACATGGAACGGTCAAGACTCAACCAACCAGACGGCAATCTGAGACCAACATGTAGGTAGAAAATTAGCTACAAGTTTATATAAAAAATGCATCTGTAAAAGGTGCTGCTAGCAGCTGGCAATGTGTAAAACCAACTCATTCTGAACATTAAGCAATTGAAGTTTGGAGGGAAAATTATGAAACTTGTTGAAGTGGAAGAAAATGAAACTGAATTATGGACCAACTTCATTTATAGCAATATTTGTGATATGGAAAGGCCGGTTTACACCAAGATCAATAGCTATAATGTTTTAATAATTGTTCTAATTATACGAGAATAGAGAAATTGACACCACAATAATAATGACACAAAGGAACCATTTCAGAGGAATCCAATCAGTCAATCAGAACCCATCTTACCTTAAAAAGCTTGAGCATTCGAATTTATAATAATCAGAGTGTCATCATTCATATGGTGTGGGTGTAGTTAAATATAGTTATTGTTCTTGGTGTGAAAAGGCCAAAAAAAATTTGCCAACTCACCTTTGTTTTCTGACTTGTTTCTGCTCACTCTTCTCCACCTTGCTTGCGTTTCCAGCTCCAAACAGCCGACCCCAGCGGAGAACCTGTGCCGACCCATCCTCGCCTGCTCCTGGCTGGGCCTGAACCCCTTTAAAGGCATCCTGGCAGTCTGGCTGCTTTTCCTTACTCTTCTTCAGCTCAGTGAGGACTGATTCCGGTGGACTTCCCATCCACGATGGCTTCCCCTTTGTGACTTTTGTGGGTTCTGACAATGCTGATTGGTGGAGGACACCATTGCCAATGCTATTAATATTGCTACTGCTGGTCCGACAATGTTCCACCTGTTCATCCATTGGCTGAATGGCCTCGGCCCCCTCAACCACACCTTCTCTAGGAGGTGGATGGCTTTGCCGGTGGCTCTCAACACCACCTTTCCTCCTCTTCTCCAACTTCACAAATTTTGAGCCCTCGACAGAGTTGTCGATGTAAACCTGTGAACTTTGCATCAGCTGGTACCACCAGCCAGCTTGTCGGTTTCTCTGTTTGGCTCCATCTCCATCTCTTTCTCTCCTTTTCTCTTTCTCACAGTCTTCTCCAACTCCCTTCATCCTGCCAGCACACCACCCGCCACCATCTATCTGTCCTGCGTCACTCTTCCTCAAACACTCTTTGCCAACTCCAGCCTCCTTATCCCGTGATTCACGCTCTGCTCCCGCACTCCTCCGCCCATCACATTTAATTTTTAATGTCACTCCCTCTGTCCTAAGCCGGCTGTCTTCATCTCTCAACAAGAACCTTTCTCTCTGAGGCAGCATTCCCACTTCCTGTGCTCCAGACTCCAACGTTCCACAGCCTCGCATGAGCTGAAAGGTGGAGCAATCTGATTGGTTGAGGCCTTGGCGAGCACAGCACAGCTGTTCTTTGCGTCTCAGGTGTTCTTCCCCTTTCTTTAGCTGGTGTGGCTCAAATAGCAAGTCAAGGTCAAAGGGCAACAGTGAGAGCGGCTGAAGAAGGAGCTGCAACTCTTCAAACAGTGGCTGGCAGGCCCCTTGAGACAGGGGTAGGAAACCCCATGGGTGGTAGTGGGCTGCTACAATGTCTGAGGAACCATGCCAGAACAAAAAAAAGAGACACAGACGGCCACACAAAAAAATGCTAAATATTAGAATTATGCTGGCAATAGAGTATGAGAAACATAAAAATCTTGGCTCTACTTAATTTCTCTGACTAAAGCCAACTGCTCTTGAACAAGTCACTAAAAATAAATGTTGCAGCATGAACGTAAGTGCAGAAAGCATGGTCCTACCTTCATGTGTATAAATGTGATTGAACCAGAATTCCAGAAATCGCAAGCTGAAAAACATTGAAGGTGAGTGTTGTAAAATCATGGACCCAAATCTACTGAGGTCAAATGCAAATCTGTAACATTACTGCACAATAACAGAAATAATACACTTACACCAGAGGCAGGGGTCTTCAGTATATATTTTTTCCATTATATTTGAGGTCGGTAAGATTATAATGTTTTTGAAAGAAGTCTGTTATGCTCACCAAGGCTTTTTTCCCCCCAAAAGTACAGTAAAAACAGTTATGTTGTGAAATATTATTACAACATTAAAAACAGCTCTTTTCTATTTCAATATATTTTAAAATATATTTTATTCCTGTGAATAAGAGCTACATTTTCTGCCATTACTCCAGTCATCAATGGCAAATGGTCTTTCAGAAAGCATTCTAATATGCTGATTTGGAGCTCAAGTAACATTTTTTTTGTTTGTTTTTTATAATCACATTTGAAAACGGTTGTGAATACGGATATGAAAATGTTGTATTTGTAATTTGTAATTAATGCAAATGTGTTTATCGAAAAAAAAAAAAAAATCAAACAATAATTTGGCTTCCCCCCTGCAGTACTGCTGCAAACCTCCTATGGGTTGATGACCCCCTGTTGAAGACCCCTGGACCCCTGGAAATCTGTTTTAAAGTGAAATACTACAAGTGCAACAACAAGGACCCTGGAAGTGATTACTGTACTCTGTATTGATCTCAAGAAGAAGAGTGACCACAGCGCAGAGTGAGACAGACAGATGAGAGAGTGAGAGAGAGATTAGTATGCTGCAGAATGAATAATTGAAAATAATGATCAAAGTGCTGTGCCTCTGACTATAATTTTAATAGGAGTGGAAAAGAGGAAGTTTGCACAGGAGCTGAGATGACTATGTCAAGGCCCATCAAAGCAAAACTGGAGCCTTTGATGACTTCTAAAGACTTTTCGAAACACACTACAGAGTTTTAGACAGCAAGATTTGAGTTTTTTTTTTTTTTTAGACCTGGCTTGTTATAGTGCTAATAAAAAACATACGCCATCGATCTGTTCCAAAACCTAGTGAGCTGCCTACCAAGACACCATTTTATGACACCAATGCTGTTCTAAAAGGTAGAAAATGGCAAAATGTATTAAAAGTTAAAATGTTAAAATCTAAAGCAATACTGCATGTATCTTTCAGATAAAGCAATTTCAATATGCAAAACACAAAAAAGCATTTATATTATGTTTTTTTCCCATCAAATATTAAGAGTTGGCTTTGTATTGTTGGGTTGATTAGACTATCAAATCTGAGGAGCAGCAATCTAATCTAATTAACAAAAAATTTACTTCATACATAGAATTTATTTATTCTTTTTTTTGGTCATTTTTTGTTATGCCATTGGCTAAATTCATGATCCAATACTGAATGTAAAGCTTCTTCTTCTTCTTCATTGTTATCAAGATAAGATACTGCAGTACTACAATGCATTTGATGGTCAAATATATCTTTTGTTTTCATTTTAGAAACTCCTAGAAGATTAAAAAGCACATTCCGTTCGATCAATCAACTCAAGACAGAAACTATCATCCCTATCCGAACATCTCACTCAGTCTGTCTTGTCTATCTCTCAGGGGACTGCTAAAAAGCACATTCCGTTCGATCAATCAACTCAAGACAGAAACTATCATCCCTATCCGAACATCTCACTCAGTCTGTCTTGTCTATCTCTCGCGTTAAAATAAACGCAAGTTCTCAAACGGTGCTCTAAGACCTTTGAAAAAGTAAATAAATTTAAATTAAATTAAAAAAGCATCAAATAACACAGACCCTCCATTTTAAAGTCATTGTTCACATTTTGCTTCCATAATATGAGGCATTTCTATGGAGATAGAATTGTTGCTTAATTCCAAATAAATAGATTACGATCCATAAATAAATGTAAAGAGATTAACAAACATTAAACATACTGACAAATAAACAGAATGACATCCACAAATAAATCTTAAAGTTTCACAAACATGAATTAAATTCACAAATAAATAAAATGAGATTTGCAAATAAAAAACATATTCACAAATATATATTTATGTCACAACCACAACTTTGCCTGTCATTTATTTGTGAATCGCGTCCTGTGCATTTGTAGATAGCTGCACGCATTTGTGAATCGCGTCCTGTGATTTTGCGAATAATTAAACATTTCTTCCGTCAAGACGTGCTGACAATCCACAAATACGTGGACTCCACCCACCGTCTACTCAAGCCAATCAGATAACAGCCACATTTCGCTGACCAATCGTAGCACGATATCGCTATAGCCAATCACGTTTTGCTTTACAATCAGGGCGGTCTCGTCCTGAGATAACTTCATTCATCTGCATTGGCTCAAATAGGTAATATAAGGGCCATAAAATGGGTACAGTAAAAGATGTTTAAAATTGGATTTCGTTAGACCATTAGACTGTGTATCATGCCAACCAAGCCACAATATTTTATGTTACGTCCCTTTGAGAATGCCGTGATGAAATGTAGCAGGTTAGACGAGTGCGTGTGCGCATTTACAGTGCTTTCTTTCACTGTATGATTCAGTTTATTAAAATACATTTCAAATGATCACAAAATTCAAGATATGGGAGCAAAAAATTTAAAAATTAAAATTTATTAATATACAGTTCAATAAACAAAAAGTTAATTAAGAGACTTAATTAAGAGTTTTAGACACCATATTGCCTGTTTTTGCTCTATTTCGACAACAAAAATAACTCCAAACAAAGCCACATCACTGTTTTGCATCTCTGAGCAACATGACGGTGTTTCGTTTCTGAATGAATCAACCGTTTAAATGATTCGTTTCAATCGCAATGACTCACTTATTAACAGTGACTTGCTGCCATCTACTGGTGGTTTAAATTTCACATTTAAAGTATCTTTTCAGTTTTTAAATAATTTCAAATGTCAGTATTCAACGTTTTTTTGTTTAAAATATCAAAACATTATCTATGCATTTGTAACTGCAGGTTAAAGCATCCCATGTCCCTCTGAGCTGCATTAAACAGTGTGACATCTACATGCCACTTCAGATGCAGCTTCTGTGTTTCCTCTGCATTGCAAAGATTAATTTCGTTGATATTTATACCATTTGTTTAGTAACAGCCCAAATATCTCATTATTCTAATTGACAAATTATATGCAAAAAAAATGGCTTTATAAATGTAAAAATGCTTATAAAAGGTAAAAAATATATATATATTTAAGCTTATTGGTAGATTAATTTCTATCACTGCTGTGAACTGACCACCACAGAATATCAAAAACTTCATACATCGTTAGATCCGCATAGCAGCTCATATACATCGGCTTGACTGAAAAACTGGGAAATGCTGTTGGCTGTTGTGTGACGGCAATTTAACCTATTACACAAACAAATGTTTATTATGAGGTTGAGTTCAGTTACTTATTGACGCTTTTATTTCCATATTGAATAGCGGCTACCGATCACAATCGGCCGATAATCACTTTGGGATGATTGATCGGCGGTCTCTAAAAGGCCGATCTCATAAAACCGATCTTAAGCTGATGACGCTGCTGTGAGAGTTTTGGCTCGACATGCAGCGGCACCGTCTCAGTCTCTGTCCGGCGCGGGTGAAATAATTATAATGCTTTAGGTGAGGTACAATTCTTATTTCTTAATTAAATAACTTATAAAAGTAAGTTGAAAAAGTTTCTGGGGGTTGATGGGGGGGCTTCAAGCCAAGGCTTTACTCAAGTTAAAACACTTTCATCATCCTCATGAATGTTTATTTTTATTTATTTATTTATTTAGTCATTTAGCAGACGCTTTTATCCAAAGCAACTTACAAATGAGGACAACAGAAGCAATCAATTGTAGTATTAAAACAACAAAAAACAGATCCAAAACTAAAAGCTAAAACTTTATAAATACTACTTATACACATTTTACTTATACACATAAAAATAAAGAAATTAAATAAAAATGACAAATGCATACAACAAAATTTCAAAACTTAACATTTAAATGAAAAACAAAAAATAAAGCTAAAAACAATTCAAAATATTAAAGGGGTCATATGATGCTGCTAAAAAGAACATTATTTTGTGTATTTGGTGTAATGAAATGTGTTTATGCGGTTTAAAGTAAAAAAAAAAACACTATTTTCCACATACTGTACATTATTGTTTCTCCTCTATGCCCCGCCTTTTTGAAACGCGTCGATTTTTACAAAGCTCATCGGTCTGAAAAAG